CCATATACTGAAGGTGGTGGGTTCAAACCCGGCCCCAGCCAAACTGCAACAACAACAACAACAAAAAAAATAGCCAAGTGTTGTGGTGGGCACCTGTAGTCTCAGCTACTTGGGAGGCTGAGGCAAGAGAACCACCTAAGTCCAGAGTTTGAGGTTGCTGTGAGCTAGGCTGACACCATGACACCCTAGTCAGGGAGATAGAGTGAGACAGTGTCCGGGGGGAAAAAAAGAAAGGAAGAGCAGGCTAGTTTAGCTTGAGAGCAAATCCTTTTGAGCCCTCTCCTCAGAACAGGGAAGGAGGATTTCTCTGTTACTCAGCTGATCAATCCCAGGAAGAGATGAGTTTAGGGAGGATTCAGTCCCCATTCTTGGGCTCCACACACCCTGTTTAAGTCAACAGTAACCCAGCACCTACTACACTTTGGGCCCCACTTGGTTTGCAGCCCACAGGAAAGCTTTGCTCAGCTGCAGGCAGTCAGTGTTAGAGCTGCAGCATTAGACAAGCACCTGACCCTTTGGGGCTGGCGGCCAGGCCAGGCACAGACTCCACAGAGTAGGCCAAGGAAAAAGCAGTACCCTTTATTCCGCTGCAAGGCCCTGTCCTTCAGCAGACACAAAGCAAAACTGGCTGGATTAGGGGCTGTTCCCAATATCTACATTTCAAATCTCCAGTTAGCTGCAGTTTCTATGGCTACCAGGCCTCCTAGTAACAAGACAGCCAAATGTTAATACTGACCCCTTCCTCTGCTGACCCTCAGGGGAAATCTGGAAGGCAGCAGAGACAACAGAACACCAAGGCAGAATAAAGGAGCAGCAATTAGGGTGCAGTTACCAATATCTCAAAGGGGGGGGGGAGAAACAGACATGTGGGGTTTGTGGATCAAGCCACAGCACAGATACAGGGTGTTCAGGGAGCAGACATTCCTTACTCCAAGAACAGGTCTTATCTTTGTAATACTGTGGCTGAGGAGGACAGACTGCAGTCAGGAAAAAGCAGAGGAGGGATGCCTGGGGCAGCACCTGTGGCTCAGTAGGTAGGGCGCCCACCCCATATACTGAAGGTGACAGGTTCGAACCCTGGCCAAATTGCAACAAAAAATAGCTGGGTGTTGTGGTGGGCGTCTATAGTCCCAGCTACTCAGGAGGCTGAGGCAAGAGAATTGCTTAAGCCTAAGAGTTTGAGGTTGATGTGACCTGTGATGCCATGGGATTCTACCAAGGGCAATAAAGTGAGACTCTCTCTAAATTAAAAAAAAAAAAAAGAAAAGCAAGAGGAACACCTGGCCTGGAGCCGCTAACTGAGCAGTGGCTCACTGCCAGAGTGCACCTGCTGGCTCAAGTGCAGATAGAGGGAAATCTGGGCCATGTAACCTGGAGGTTAAGAAAACCATGGGAGGGGCTTGGCGCCTATGGCTCAAGTGGCTAAGGTGCCAGCCACATACACCTAAGGTGGCAGGTTCGATTCCAGCCCAGGCCACCAAAAAAACAATGATAGCTGCAACCAAAAAATAGCCGGGTGTTGTGGCGGGCGCCTGTGGTCCCAGCTACTTAGGAGGCTGAGGCAGGAGACTCGCTTGAGCCCAGGAGTTGGAGGTTGCTGTGAGGTGGGATGCCATGGCACTCTACCCAGGGGGACAGCTTGAAGCTCTGTGTCCAAAAAAAAAAAAAAAAAAAACCATGGGAGGGATTCCCCTCCAGTCCACAGAGCAGTAAGAACCTTTATGATCCCAGGGACAAGGGCTGAAGAAGCCTCAGGCTCACTCAAATGCTGGCTGACAACCCTCACTGTCCCAGGGCAACAGGATGTCACTCAGATTCTCCAACCCCAGGGGGATTTTGAAATACAAAATCTCCAAAAGTGTTTCACTTCTCTGGGACATTGGTTTCCCAAAAACTAACAATTAGATGATTTCTTCTAATACCTTGTATATGTCTTATGTCCTTCAAACTTTTTAAGGGTCTCTGTTTTATACTTTTTTATTGTGTTTTGTTAACTTTTACTAGTTTTTTCCAATTATGGAAGTGATACAGGTGACTTGGCACGCATCACTCAGTGGTTAGGGCGCTAGCCGCATACACTGGGGCTGGTGAGTTTGAACCCAGCCCAGGCCTGCTAAACAATAATGTGACAAATATAACAAAAAAATAGCTGGATGTTGTGGCAGGTGCCTATAGTTTCAGCTACTTGGGAGGCTGAGGCAAGAGAATTGCTTAAGCACAGGAGTTTGAGGTTGCTGTGAGCTGTGATGCTATAGCTCTCTACAGAGGGCCACATACTGAGACTCTGTCTCAAAAAAAAAAAGTTACATATACTCAGGGTAAAAAAATTGGAAAACAGAAAACATAAAGAAAATTACTATAACCCATAATGTCCCATTCAAAGATAAATACTAGTAATATTTTAATTCTAGATGTATACATATATAATTTTTTTATAAAAAATATACATATATATATGTATATAAAAAATCCTACCTCACTGCAACCCTGAGCTCAAACAATCCTCTCATCTTAGCCTCCCAAGTAACTGGAATGACAGGCATATGCCACCATACCTGGCTAATTAAAAAAAAAATTCTGTAGAGGGCTAGCACAGTGGCTTATGCACTTGGGAGGCTGAGGTGGGTAGTTGCCTGAGTTCACAGGATTGAGACCAGTTTGGGACAGAGAAAGACCTAATCTCTAAAAATAGCAGGTGCCTGTAGTCCCAGCTACTTGTGAGGCTGAGGGAAGAGAATGGCTTGAGCTCCAAGATTTTGAGGGTACTGAGCTATGATGCCATAGCTCTACCAAAGGTGACAGAATGAGATTCTGTCTAAAAAAAAAAAAAAAAAGCCTCC